AAACGCCATAGTAAGGATGGATGATAGGCTAACTTAAAAAAAAAAAAATTAATCTTTTTTTTTAATACATTTTTTTAAATGCCATGCGATCTACCGGTCGATCGCAAAGGTATTGTGTACCGTATTGGGCACCCCTGGTCCTGACGGCCACTGGCTGATTACATTTGATATGTATCTGAATAATCTACTAGAAATGATAAGGTTGATGTTAAACCTTAAAGTGGACCTATCATGCTATATTTGAATAATATAGTGTAGGACCATACCTATATAAGGCATATTTATACTTTTTTTTTTTCAAAATACCAAACAGATCATGCATTTTAGCCATGCCTCATTTCGCTCAATTTGCACTTTTTTAGCTCTGTTTTTGCAAGGGCTGATTCTGTGAGAACAGCACCACCTACAGGCCTGGCATATGTACTACAGCGTCTCCAGCGCTTTCGAACGGCAATGGCCGTGGCTGTCTCCTCCTGATTGGTGGAGTTGGCCCAATAGCCGAAGCGCCACTGTCCTGACGTCAGGACAGTGTTCAAATCTGGATCAGTTTTGATCAGATCCGTTGCAGCCCCTTTTTTAGAGATTTGGAGGAAAATAGAGAGGGTTGTGTTTTCTGACACTTGGTGAGTTCCCTGGAACACCGGGGACACATATTCATGTATAAAAGACGTACAAAAGTGCATTTTGCATGATAGGTCCCCTTTAAGTATCAGGTCAGACCAAGGGATCCTGCTGGGCCTGTTTGACAGTGTTCATGCTGCGTTCCCTCGGAAGTGTTGAAGCAGTGATTACAGCGGGCACAATGACCTGCACCGCCCTCTGGTGAATCACTTCCTTCACGCTGAGGCACCCTGTTCAGAGCTTCCTTCCTAATGGGACCTCCAAATGGTGCTGAAGCTGTGGAGGTCAAATTCTTGGAACAAAGAACCGGGACTCAAGGAATACAGGAGGGATTCAAACTGATGTCGGACGCTGCAGATTTACTGGAAGTTACAACCAGAGAGCAAAGCAAGACATTTGCTGAGATACTGTAGTGACACAGCCTCTGCCAGTGGCGGACTGGCCATCGGGACGTTCGGGACGAATCCCGATGGGCAGGTACTGAAGTGGGCCGGTCGGACGATGTGGGCCAGTCGGATAAGGCCCCCCCCGTTGACAATTTACTAGCGGTATTTACTTGCGGTACCGAGGTGGGCCGGCGGTACCGAAGTGTGCCGGTCGAGAGTCCCGGGCTGATTTTTAGTCCCAGTCCGCCCCTGGCCTCTGCCCAATCAACAGTAAAGTTCTGCCCCCCCAAACTGATACTTTTGTTTTACCAACAGAGAATCAAACATTCCATCAGCAAGACTTAACAAGTTACCTTTCTTGAAGAGAATCAGGCTCCAGAGGGCCTTTTGTACGGTGGCCGACAGGTGTAAACACTTCACAACGGCTGAAAACATTTCCATTGGAGAATCGCGCTGCAGTTTAAAAAACGAAGCACATATAAAAACACAAATGTGCCAAAACCCATGCAAATTAAGAAACACCTTCACCAACTTAACACATGCACAGCGTTTACTAAAAGCGCTGCAAATACAAAATGCTGCAAGAAGCTCAAAACACAATGGAAACCAGGGGATACAGAATACAGTTTGATATAAAAAACATTAATGCTCAATAAAGATGTTTTATATACTTAAAGATATTGAAGATTTGTAGGGGTTTTTACTGTAAGACAGGGTATAACTTAACCTTAACTTAAAGGGGACCTATCATGCAAAAAGCACTTTTGTACGTCTTTTATACATGAATATGTGTCCCTGGTGTTCCAGGGAACTCACCAAGTGTCAGAAAACACAACCCTCTCTATTTTCCTCCATACCCAAATCTCTAAAAAAGGGGCTGCAACGGATCTGATAAAAACTGATCCAGATTTGAACACTGTCCTGACGTCAGGACGGTGGCGCTATGGCTATTGGGCCAACTCCACCAATCAGGAGGAGACAGCCACGGCCATTGCCGTTCGAAAGCGCTGGAGACGCTGTAGTACATATGCCAGGCCTGTAGGTGGTGCTGTTCTCACAGAATCAGCCCTTGCAAAAACAGGGGTAAAAAAGTGCAAATTGAGCAAAATGAGGCATGGCTAAAATGCATGATCTGTTTGGTATTTTGAAGAAAAAAAAGTATAAATATGCCTTATATAGGTCCTACACTATATTATTATAATATAGCATGATAGGTCCACTTTAAAGGGGAGCTATCATGCAAGATGCACTTTTTTATGTCTTTTATACATAAATATGTGTCCCCGGTGTGTCAGGGAGCTCACGCAGCGTCAGAAAATTAAACTCTCTCTTTTCTCGTTTTGGACGTAATATGGTCGGTGTTTACATTAGCATCGCTAACACTCAGAGCTAACCTGTACTGGAGAGCATGTGTGTGAAGAAGCTGGATATAAAAAGGAACTCACCTTGTGGTATAACCGGCAAGAGAGAAAGCCTTTGAGCTAGGGCTGTGCGATTATGGCAAAAATCATAATCACGATTATTTTGGTCAATAATTGATATCACGATTATTAAATACGATTATTCATTGACTTTGAAAACATCCATTTATTGAACTTTAAAACAAATACAAATAATAATTTGAACAGTATCTTTTTAACTGTTGATTACCCTGAACGTATAATTCAACTGAAAAACTTTAAATAAATAATATCAAAATAATAAATACCAATAAACAAGATCAACAAATATTTTGGAGCGCACTTCCAAAAGCTACTAATCATATATAAATACAAATAAATTAGACCAAAATAAATTAGATCAAATATGTTGCAGTGCACTGTCACAACCTAGCAAAGCAAAATAATTGTTTTATTCGATTATGTTGTTTTCGTAATTGTGGCATGCCAAAATTGTAATTGCGATTAAAATACGATTAATTGCACAGCCCTACTTTGAGCTCCATACTGTTTCAGAAATAATCCTTGATAATCCATGATATGGCGTTTCATCACGGCAGTATTTAGTTTAGACAGTAGCTGCCGGATCCCGCATGAGCTCAGCCCCCTCCTTTTTTATTTCATTTTTTTTAATCAATTATTGATTTTTTTAAAGCTTTATACCCAAAATCAGCACTTTTGAAACAGGAAGTGAAATAGAGGGATATGAGGCATGGCTAGAATGGGTGATCTGTTTGGTATTTTGAGCAAAACACTTCATAGACATGTTTTTTATATATTTTTATATATCTGAGACCAATGCTATTGCCTAAAAATAGCATGATAGGTGCACTTTAATCTTAAATTATAGCGTCCACTTCAATTGGCTTCAACGGCATTACCACACAGGAGTGGAAATGTAAAGATTTTCTAGATCCATAGGGACTTAGCTTGGCAACGGCAAGACCAAGTGCTACCGAGGTGTCCCTGAGCAAGGCACCGTTCCCTACACTGCTCCCCGGGCGCTGTACATAAAAATGGCAGCCCACTGCTCCTAACACTAGGATGGGTCAAATGCAGAGAAACCGTTTCGTTACTAGTACTTGTACTACGTAATGACAATAAAAGTTAAAAAAAAAATGGGGATTTACCTAACAGATAATGGACTGCTTGGTTTTAGCTAATTCCGCCCTGGGATCAAATATTCTGATTTTAATTGTAGTAAAGTAAACAAAACAGCTGGAACCAGCAGACTTAAAAAATTACAGTTAGACCTGCAATAATTGATTTTTTTGGGCGACTCAGCTGCAGCATTACTTTATATATTTTGTGATATTTCCACATCCAGCAGTAACAGAGCGAACAAGTCAGTTGAGTCTGTTTTTTGCTGCAGATCATATTATAATTCTCTTCAGGTTCATCACCTCCAGCTACCCCTTCATTGTCATTATCTAATAGTTATTTCAACAGCTTTTAGGATAATTAAGAATAATAATAAGTAAAAAAGCAAATAATTAATTGATCTCTCATATCACATGTTTAGTCCCTCCACTAGCCTCTGTTAGCCTCTGTTAGCCTTTGTTAGCCACGCTTACCTTGAGTAATAGTTGTCATGTCTAAGAAACTTATTGTGAAAGTTTATTCTTTATGTTAGTTTTGTCATGTCCTTCTGTCCTGTGCTTTATGTTTATTTTGATAAGTAATTCTCCCTCTCATTTCAGGCCTCCACGCTCCCCGCCCCTATCTGTCTCCTGCGTCCGTGATTGTTTTCCCCGCCCTGATTGTTTCCACCTGCTCCCCTTACCCTGTGTATATATTGTGCTAGTTCCCTCCTGTCCATTGCCAGTTCGTTTCCTCATTCAGGACAATCGTACAAGCCTACTCCACGGACTTAAAACGTACCTCTAAGCTCCTGATCATAGTCTTTGTTTTTCCTCGAAAGAGTGTTATTGTTTTCCCTGCTTTGTTACTGTGTCTAAATCCAGTAAAGTCTTTATTTTGAATCACTACCTGAGTCTGAGTTGAGTCGTGCATTTGAGTTCATGCCTCAGAGTTCATTCCTTGACAATAGTTGCCTAATGCTTCCTTCATAAAGACATATTTACAACAACGAAGACATTTATCTTATCAGAAGCCTCTGTCTAATTAATAAATTGCTATTTAGCGTAAGGAAGTGAGGTCACTAAACTTCAAACCCACAAACACTTAGACAGAAGATGATAAAGATCAGGAACAAAATCAATACAGCTGGGGTGTCGAGGTGTCAATCAAAAACTGTTTTATGTCTTTGCCCAGGTTTGCTATCCTCTAGGGTTAAGGTTTCTATTTATGTGCATCAGAATCCTGCCTTTTAGATGCTATGTGTTCGATTTCAAATTTTTTACTAGATTTTCTTTCCAAGATCCAAGTTATTTGACCAACCATTCTATCAAGACATTAACACAGTTTTCAATTCAAGCTATCCTGGGGTTAATTTATTTGCAATGAAACTTGTTACATATATTTTTCTTTGTAAATAAAAACAATCTGTGAATTATCTTCATTCCCTTCATGTCTAGAAGGGGACATGTAGCTCTTACTTGGAAATATCCAAGGTCTTCAGGATAATGCTGTCCATCCACAGTCCATACAGCAAGTTTACAGCATTTACTCTTATGACAGAGAACTTATAGTTCCTGTCAGGTTCGAGGAGGCTGAGCTGTAGGTCATACGACTGGCATGCATATATAAGTTTGGCATTGTCAGCAGTAGTTGGATGACAGCTTTCTATGTGGATCTCAAACATTTGGTACAGCTCCTGAGACGACACGCATGCAACTTCCCAGAACAGATGCACACCGTTGGATAACACACTGGACTTGACCCGGTCAAAAATCACTGGCATCTTGAAGGAAACCAATGCACTAAGCTGGAGAGTGTGAAGGTTGCCTGTATTTGAGGCGAGCTGGTTCTGCAGGTTTAGTGGGCCGCAATTCCGAGTCAATCTGGTATCAAAATCGTGCACGTGCTGCCACGTTTGCTGGATCTTCTGCTGCATGGAAGCTGCCATGTCACTGTCCACCAAACCCTGTTTATACTTCATGATGAAGGCCTCCAGCTCCCGGCAGCTCCTGGTGATCACTTGGTACAGCTGTCCCATCACAGTGAGCAGTAGCGTGACCTGGGTCCGGCCCAGAGCCATGGCCCGCTGCAGCCTCCGCTTGTCAGTCAGAGAGGACACCGCGGTGCCCAGAGGCTGCTGCCCCTCTGCAGCTGGCCCTTCATCCAGTCGGACCTCTAAGTAGAACGAGCTTCTCTGCAAAAGCCGCAGCTTTCTGTGCATCACCTTGGAAATACATCACATAACCTGGTATGTGCTCAACATTTCATGATGACATCACTCAGACAGTTCATTTTTCACTATTGAATGTTTTTACTCCTGCAAACCCATACAGGTGTTTCAATCAACGGCTAGTAAGACCGTAGTCAGGCTGATTTTGGGTGTAGCCAGGAAGCCTTTGAACTAATAACTATAAGTTTACAATATACAATATCCTACCGCTAACAGGCAAGTGAAGGAGCTGTCAATCAAACACAGGCCCAATTCCAATCCACCCCCTACACCCTACCCCTCCGTTTGCGCGTTCGTGACTCAACACTGTGTGTGTCCGTCATTAAACACGCTGTTTACAAACAGTTCCAGCAAACATCCACTGATAAATTGCGATGTTAACAACCTCATGATAACCTCATATTTTCTTTACTTAGGATAATACCTGTGTTTAGTCTAGAAAAAGGTACATGTGTGCATTTTATTATAAAGTTGTGTATATTAACAGACTGTTGCAAAAACTAAGAAGCTTATAAACATCAGGTTTAAAACTAAAATAGTTTTACAAAAAAGTAACACAATTAAAGATGTTTTATTTTAGTTATTAATTTAAATTTTTTGTCAAAGAGATGCTGATTTGAAACCGTTGTTACATACAATTACGGCATTTCCTGTTTCTGCCGAAGAGAGGGGAGTTTGTCCCAAAGGTTGGATGGTTTAATCTATACCAAATAATTAAAGAAATGTCCCTAAGTAATGTGTTTCATATCCTGAACTTATAAAGTAACTAGTAAATAACTCTGTAAAGTTGAGTAAAAAGTACAAAATGTGCTTCCAAAATGTAGTGCATTACAAGAATAAAGTAGTATAAAATGAAAGTACCTCAAATGTGTACTTCATTAAGTACTTTGGTAAATGTACTTAAATACTTTCCACCATTGACTAATGGACCTTTAACAGTGTTAACAGTTGAGTGAACAGATGCCTCTCATGGAGGATATGACAGGGTCCAGTTAGAGCTCTGTGAATGAGCCGAGTCCAGTGGGACCAGCAGGACTTCGCCTGTGGATGTGAACCATTTATGGGTTCAAGAAGCCTAAAGCATTCAGAGTTGTCATCTTCACAAGAAATGAGTTGATTAACGTTGGAATGCTTGTGTTGGTCACATAGCCGTGGGAACATTTTTCAAATGGGGGGTGCTGTGGGGATGACACCAGGGCCGGTTCTGACCAATTTGCTGCCCTATATGCAAGATTTTAGCTGGCAATGAAAAACCTACTTTTCCCCCCGAACTATGCCGATAGGGGGGGGGAGATTTGGTTTCACACCAAAAAGATCTGGACTAAAGAGTTCGGGGGGACTAGGTACCGGGGACAAGTACCGGCTAAGTACTTGGTCTGAACTCTTTAGTCCCTCGAACTGTCCTAGTAGATCTCTCCGGAATAAGTCCCCGAGGGAAGATTAGGCAAATGAAGCCTCTGACGTCACTTCTTCTTCTTCTGCTTTGGGTTTAATGGCAGGCCGCAAACAACTTCACGGCGTATACTGCCACCCGCTGTACATGAGGCGTCTGTTCATCTTCCTCAGACATGATGGAGTTGACTGAAGGTGTGGTTTTTGTGCTCATGTTATACAGCTTGATAACGAGTAAATCGCCAGAAGCGTTGACACCTCCTCATCACTCCACCGCTCCCATGTTTTCTTTTGTGTTGCCATAAGTTAGTCTCTCTCCGTTGGTGCGCTGGGCTAATGCGAGCAAATAAAATGGCGGCTTCACAAAACTTTTCGAAATTTTACAGGGCGTGGTTTGCAATTCGCCCAGCCAATCAGAAATTGTTAGCGTGGCCGACACACCCACGAACCATTTCCTCCCCAGGAAAGTACTACCTCGCAGGCAGGGACTATCTTGGGGTGAAAAGGTTCGCGCGAACTAGGCCCAGATCCTTTTTTGTGTGAAACCAAATCTCCTCCCCCTATCGGCCTCGTTTGGGGGGAAAAGTACTCCGGTGTGCAAGCGCTGAATGAGGACTTTCTTGTTCCAACACATTACATTTTTTTTAGCTGACTTCTATCCAAAGCCACTTACTGCTAATAAACCATGGAGATACAAATTCAGTGATTCAACAATCCTGCATTTTCTGTCGCATATAGTTGAGTTTTGACTGCTTGAAGGTAAAAACTTTGTCCATTTTGTCCTGAAATCATAGAGATTGAAAATATTGAGGCAGACATGATTTGCATATCCACAGACCTTAGGAACAGTGGAGAGGTGGAATCATGTGACACACTGAATGTGCATCAAGTTCTGGTGACATCACTCTTCTCTCTCTCTAGGTCAGGGGTGGGCAATTATTTTTTACAAGGGGCCACTTCAGAAACTCGAGCTGTGTTGGGGGGCCGAATCAAAAATAAGTTGAACTTAATTCTGCTCAATATACCAATACTGAAAAGGTGTTTTACAGTATGTTAAAGATAAGAAATGAATCAGCTTTATACAAAAAGAAATGAGTGCTTTTGATTTTTGTTTTTCAGTTAATTTTACTTGTTCAGTGAGAAAAATCCAGTCTGTCTTGGGCTTGAACAAGTGCACGGAAATCTGGTTCAATGTCTGAGGTGGATATGCGAAGGACAGCTGAGAGGTGATCATCAGTGATAGAGGATCTGTATCTGGATTTGTTGAACTTCATCACTGAGAATGTCTGTTCACATATGTAGGTAGATCCAAAGAGGACCATCATCTTCTGAGCATGTCTCCTGATGTGTGGAAAGTTCTCCTCTTTCAGGGAAGAGTAAAACTCAGGCAGTGAGACTGACCTAAAGTGCTCTGACAGAAGTGTGTCAGACTGCAGGTCAATGAGTTTAAGCTGAACATCACTGGGTGCATCATCCACATGGCATGTAAATGGGGAAAAGATCATGTTCATTTCATTCTCAACTGTTTTGAAGTCTTTAAATCGCCTTGAAAACTCACCATGCAGTGCTTCTAACATGGATGAGTACCTCTGGAGGTGATCAGCTGATGGTGTGGCTTCCTTCAGTGTTGGCAAGTGCGTGAGAATGTTGTCCTCCATTTGGCTTGAGAGAAGCTGCAGCTTTCTCATGAAAGCCTTCACTGCACTGTACATGTCATGCACAAAAAGGCCCTTGCCTTGCAGTTTGACATTTAGTTCACTCATTAGTGCAGTCACATCTACAGCAAAACCAAGGTCTGCCATCCAGTCTGCATCTGAAAGCTGTGGGATGTCGTTTCCTTTCTTCACACAGAAGTCTTGAATCTCTTCTCTCAGGTCCCATACTCTTTTCAGCACTTTGCCCAGGCTGAGCCACCTGACAGCTGCATGGTAGGGTATGTCACGATGTTCAGTCTCACTTTCCTCCAAAAGTGCAACAACCTGTCTGTGATTCAATGCTCTTGCCCTGATGAAGTTAACTATTTTAGTTACAACATCAACAACATGGTTAATTTTTAACACTGACTTACACAACACTTCCTGATGTATAATACAATGCAAAAATACCTATTTCTGCTCAGGGTTAATTTCTGTCACTTTATCCTGCATTCTCTTCAATAGTCCAACATTTTTCCCTGTCAGATTTGGACAACCATCCGTTGTCACGCCTGCCAGCTTGTCCCATTTCAGTCCCAACTTTTCCACACATGCATTTACCTCCGTGAACAAATCACTCCCTGTTGTTGTACCTTTCATTGACTGCATGGCTGCCAGCTCCTCCGTGATTTTGAAGTCTGTAGTTATCCCACGTAGGAAGATGAGTAGCTGGGCAGTGTCACGTACATCGCAGCTCTCATCCAAAGCCAAGGAAAAAAAGTCAAAGTTGACCGCTCTGTTCTGCAGCTGAAGCTCCAGATTTCCCGCGATGTCCTCAATCCTCCTCGTAACAGTGCGTCGCGAGAGCGGCACTTTCTCAAATGCCTCCTTTTTCTCCGGGCATATTAGTGTCCAACAAACACTCCTTAATGAACTCTTCGTCCGAAAACGGTTAACTTTTAAGACATAACTCGTCTTGACAGCTGCATCTCTGGATGTGGAATGTTTTGTGAAAATGTGTTGTTGGCTTTGCAGCTTAGCTAGCAAAGCATCCGACCCCTTTGCCCGCTCTTCCTCAGACAGGTTCTTGTATTTATCTGCGTGTTTGGTAGCATAGTGGCGACTCAAATTGTACTCCTTGAACACAGCGACCTGCGCACCACAAACTAAACACACAGCTTTACCTTTCACTTCTGTAAATAAATACTTAGCGGTCCATGTCTTGTTGAAAATACGGCATTCAGTATCGATCTTTCTTTTTTTGCCCTTAGCGGACATTTCGAGGACTAGGCGGCCAGCATCACTCGTAGCTGTTACGGCATGCGCGTTTACGTAAATAAATAAAAAAAACAGCAGCTTCCTTTTCAAAATAAAAGCAACACAGTTAGAAAAGTATTTACGCCATGCAAGCAATACAGCTGTGTTGCTTTTATTTTGAAAAGGTTGCTGTTTTTTTTCATTATGTTATAATTTATGATCAACCTCACACGGGCCGGCCAAGGCCGGCCAACGGGCCGGATGTGGCCCGCGGGCCGTAAAATGCCCACCCCTGCTCTAGGTCGTCCTCAGACGAGCCCTCCATCGTCGCTTCCAGTCATCCCGGTTCTCCATACATCTGGCCAGTTCATTGGTACTTTGTGCTCCTGCGTCATTCTTGAGTACGTCCACGTATGTTAGTGTGCGACGTCCTCGTGACCGATGCCCGTGTGTTGGTTCCCACAGCACCAATTTGCTGGCTGGCAGCTCTTGATGCCTTTGGCAATGTCCTGCTAGTCTCATTCTCCTGGCTGCAATTTTCTCGCTAACCCTTGGTATTCCCTCGTACAGGACCTTGTTGGTTACATGTACACTCTTGCTGATGTTAAGTACTGCTCGCAACATTCTGGTGTAGCATCCGTCTAGAGACTTTTGCAGGGTTGGCTTCAGGGTCCAGCATTCACTGCCATAGAGCAGAACAGACTCTAC